TTCCTAACCTATTATGTATGTACATCAATAAAGTTGATATATTATTAGTGCTTCATATACCATTCATATAACGTTATTAATTTTTCGGATTGTGTGTCCGAAGCCAAGAACAAAACAGGTAATATAATATTAATATATATTTATGTTTGCGAATATATATAATTTGATATTTATATCTTACTAAATTATATATCAATATTATTTGTGGCGTCTCAGAGAACGAGACGCCACGCAAGGTGCATCGCTCCCAGTTAAAGGGACGCTTACGAAGCACACCTTGCGCACGGTCCTTTCCGAGAACCGCGAGGCTCGCGACGCGTTTCCGAGAAACGCGGCGGAGCGAGATAAGCTCAAGCCCGCGAGAATTCGTGGAAACGCGGACCGGCACGAGTTCGGAGAATCGCGAGCCTCGAGATTTCGGAGGAAGGGCAATAGTTAATGCGAGCCCGCGAGAATTCGCGGAAGCGCGGACCTGCGCGAGTTCGAAGAATCGCGAGCCTCGAGATTCGGAAGAGGGGCAACGGTGAATGCAAGCCCGCGACGAATTCGTGGAAGCACGGGACCTAATTAAATTCGAGGAATCGCGAGCCTCGCGATTTTCTCAGAAAAATAAAGCACCGATACTACACACAGTTAAAGGTCTTGGGTATAAATAGCGGGCGAAAACGCCGGAAGAACAGACTCCGCTCTCAACCTCCAGCGAGGAACAATCGATAGATTAAATACGAGCAGCCGAACCTCCTAGAAGGAAAAATCTACAACAACGACAATCTCCACCGGCAACCTGAAGCCCGACAGGAAACAGCCTCAGGGTGAGGCTAGAGAGATCGCCCGCTCACGACTCCGCCAACAATGTCACGCATTGTTCGGGAGTGACAGCGATGACTTTACTGACGAGGAACCTGTAGGACCCGAGCTCGGCTCTCCAGTTTCCACCTGGTCCTCCCTGCCAGCGACGCCGTCCGCAACTCGCATACCCCGCACGCCATCTCCACGGAAGCGACTGCGCACCGGGGTATCGCTCAGGCGACCCGCATTGATAGCGAACGAGGACCCAGGAAGAAAGGAAGCGGTAACTCTACCTCCTTGGAGACTGACGTCCCTGTGCCTCGCTCCAGTTAGGTGCACCCGGCCACCGCTGGAGAGGCTCACGACGTGGGACGTGAGAGCCCGCCGACCGCTCTCACCCCGATATCTATCGCCAGCAGAAAAGGAGTCGTCCACGGCCCAGGTGCACAAAGCCACGCAGACGTCGCCCCGGAAGCCTACGCTAGCACCAGGCGTCGTCAGGATCCCGACGACGCCCAAAAATCCAGATCCACGCGTCCGACAGACAGGGTCCCCACGAAAACGCGCACGGCCGGAGAAGTTCCGAGCCCACGTCGGCTCACCAAAGAAGCCCACATTACGCGGGACCTTCTCAGGGTCAAAACGACCTCCCAGGATCCGGCCCTGGAAGGGAGCCGCGACAATGAAATAGCATACATACACACAGACACACATACCAACTGTACATAAAATAAAATGTTCTGGTTTTCGTAAACAGAGCGTAATCATTCAATATACCTTCCCACTGCGAGCACCGTAGAATAAGGCGAAGATCTCAAGAACGCAAGCTAACGCGACCACATTATTAATATTTTATATCGATAGGGAAATGGATCATGATTCCTACTATTTTGATTCCCAATATCAAAATTATTATGATTCTGAAAATGAAAATGGAAATTTTTGTGAAGTAGGGAGTCAAAATGAAACAGATGGAGATGCTTTACTTATTTCTTTAGTGCGTGACCACCCCTACTTATACAATAAAGAATTAACTGATTTTAAAGATAATTTAAAGAAACAGAATGCCTGGACAGAAATTGGAAGCATTTTGAACATGACAGGTATGTAATAATTTTCTAAATTTCAATTTATTCCATTTATTTTAACAAATTTTTGTAAGAAATCATTAATTTCTTATAAACTTATATTAATTATAATTAGTTAACTTAAAAATGTAAAAACTTAACAAATCTTATTAAGAAAATTTGATTAAAGAGTAATTGAAATAATAATTTCTGATGAAAAATCAGTTTAGTTCATAATTCATGATTGATTTTTCCTTTTTTTTCATTAGTTACTTCAAATTTATAAATTGTATATATTAAGTTAAACCAGTGGCAAATAGT